TTATATAAATTTTAAATACAATTTATATATTCAAATATTGTATTTATTTGTATGATTTAAATATGGTTGTAGTCTTTACAAAATAAGTATATTTTGGTTTTGGTATGTGTAAAACTTTTTATTTTTTATTTTTATTTTTCATTCTTCTAAAATTTAATATTGTTGTTTTTGTCTCTACTACTTTGTAACCATTTATAACTATTTATATGTGCATTAGAAAATTATGTGAGCATAAGTAGTATCTATAACTATTTGTGACACTTATGCATGTGGCACTTCTAAATTTTTGTTTAAATCCTTAAAATAAGTGTTATATATATATAGCTTGAAATGGTTATTAGAAAAAAAAATAGTGACTTAAAATTTTAGAGGATTAGAATCAAAGAAAATACTAATTTTACATGGGTCATAACCAAAATTTGTTTATTTTATTTAAAAATGTATCTAAATTTATTTGTATATATGATTTGTTATAAATTTTAGTTATATAAGTTAGCATGTATAGATATGTTAAAATACTATTTTTTATATCATAGTAATGATAAGAATATCTACGAGTTTCATCGAAAATTAATATCTTTTGAGACCTTAATTGTATTAAGATCATCCATCCCAACATATTTTTTTATCAAACCCAGGACTCATTAAAATACTAGTTAGCTAAAAATTCCATACAAAAAAAAATTCATTATTTTTAATTTCTTTAATTATATATTTAATCTTAATTCTTAACTATCTTCTTTCTTTACCAAAAAAGATTCTTAACTATCTTCTTTAAATCCTCTTTTATTTATATCTCTAAATAAAATTTCAATATGTTTTCTAAAAAAATTATCGATTAACATTATATCATAATACAAATTATTAATTAAAAATATAAAATATAATTTATTAGTTCAAAATTATTTATATGTTATAATATAATTTATATATTTAAAATACTTATTTATTATAAGTTTTAATTACATTATATTCATTCATTAAAATATTTTTATTGTTTACAAGATTTCTTTATTTTAATTTGAGGTCATGATATCTTATATGATTAACAAAGAAAAGTTAGTTGGGAAAGACTAAAAAATCAGATAAGCTTGTGCGAATGAAATAACGTAATTGACATATATATTATTAAACCATGTTATCATTGGAAGGCGCTAATTAAGAAAGTAGAAGCAATTGACAAATGAAACATGATTTTTTTTAATCAAAATCATGAAACATATTTTGAATAGAAATATTGTTATCGATAGTAAACGATAATAAACGCTAAATAAGAATCTTATCGTGAGGGTCTCTCCCGAAAGAGCGTTCACATGATTAATAAGTCCTTCATAATACTTTATGCCTTCCACCCTTTCATTAACCTAAAACCCTTTCTCCCAAACACTTTCCAATTTCCAATCCACAACCCCACTTTCCCCTTTCATTCTCTTTCTCTCTACTCTCTTCCATCTGCGTTTCAAAAGGACTTCTACCAACAACACCCTCCTCTCTTGTTAGAATCAACCTCGTAGTCCTCTTTCTCAAGAATTTTGAAAACCCTAGCCTCAAAACTTTTGAAATCTTGTTGTATAGCGTCACCACAATTGTGGTGCCTGGTACTGTGATTGAATCGGAGGTTTTCTCTTAGTATAAAACCTTGTTTGTTATTTGTGTGATTGTTGATATTAATATTAATGTCTTCCAACAAGAGAAGGTTCATGAAAGCCCTATTCAAATCAAAAGGAAGCTGCGGGTGTAGCAAACCGAAATCATCTGAAGTACAAGAACCCACCCTAAAACCAAGAATCTCCATTTACCAAAACACAAACCCTAGCAGCAGCCTCAATTCATCCACCACTTCCGGCGACCGCAACGGCGACGACGAAGACGAAGTCTTCACCTCCACCACCATCTCCGAACCCGACACAAACCTAAACCACTACAAGAGCAATATCATGAGCGCGAAACTGGTGGACAGCATCGCCGTGGAGAAGGAATCGAAGGACCCACATAAGGATTTTCGTGATTCCATGCTCCAAATGATCTTGGAGAGAGAGATCTACACCGAAACCGATCTTCAGGAGCTTCTCGAGTGCTTCCTTCAGCTCAACGCCACGTGTCACCACCAAGTCATCGTCGACGCCTTCGTGGAGATCTGCGAAGAAGCGTTTCCGAGGAAGAATACGAGTCCTGAAGCGCGTCGCAGGAACCAGATCATGCGAAAGAGTCGGTGAACGTGTGTAGGCCACGTGAAGGCATTGAATTCTCACGTGCATGGAAACGTCACGGTTTCAAACTCATCTCTTCATTTATTCATTTATCTAACTGTTACGTTAGTGGGGTTGGAACTAGGAAGGAGTTGGATTAGTTCAAAATTTATTGAGTTTTGAGGAATTTGAGATTTGAAATTTGGCTGTGGAACCGAAAGAGGAAAAATCAAGTATGAGTATCCCTGGAGTGAGGAAAAATCTGTTTCGAATGAATAACTTTGATCTATTTTAGTGTAAAGCTCCCGTTCAATTATGTAATGCCCTTTCAATTGATGACTTTACAACTTACAGTATAGGTATATTATTCAACTCATTAAATGATATAACAGTATAATTTTTCATCGTTTGCAAATATATTGATTATTTAGTAGAATTTAATTTGTGCAAGATAATTGGTTATATTAATTCTTCAGTAGAATTTTAATTTGTGTGAGAAAATTGGTTATAGTATATAGGTTAAAATATTTTTTTTTAGTTTATATAGTTTTTCGCATAAAATATTTTTTAAAATCTATTTAGTTTTTATATTTATCTCTTTCAATTTTTTTAGTTCTTATAATTTGGGATAAATATTTTTAATTATTATAATTATATTTTTTTATCCTTATAGTTTCTGTCGTTATTTTTTTTTTATGTTGTCTCTTTTATATTGATGTAATAAAGGTATTAATTCAATTTTTTATATCTGATGTCAAATTTATTTTACTAAAACTACTTTAAATTAGGTCTATTGTAACATTCCAAGTTTTCACTAATAAATTAATAATAGTTTTAAATTAATTAATTGGGTTATTTTAAATAGGTGCATTTTATTTATATGGAAAATATGGTTTTCAATTAATATTATGTTTTATTTTAATATCTTGAGAAAAGAGAAGTGTAATCATGGTTTAATTGTTTTACTGATGAGTTAAACGTGAGTTAGAGAGTTTATGAGGGGGTTACATACCAGTTTATGTTTTCGTACTCTAAAGAATTTGAAGAACTAGAGAATAATAGAGGTCACCTCAAAGATTCATGTCCTGCATTTAGCATTCACTGAGATAAAGGGAGTAGTGAGTATTCTTGCACTAGACGTGAAATATATGTTGGGTAATAATATTGCCCCTCAATCTCTTTCTCTTTTGGATGTGTTGTATGAAGGAACAATCCCAATTTCTATTCATGACTTGTAATTCTATACTTTATGTAATTCCTTAGTATTATAATTGATGTTGTTGATTGACATTCATATTTAATTGTATGTAATTACTAATCTTGTGGATCTTGAATTGCCTATGGATTCTTGTGAGAATCCTAAGGGGGTGAACATATTGTGTTAATTAATATGAAATAATTGAGATGAGCATGTGAGAATATGTAACTAATGACTTATAATGACTTATAAATGTGTAATTTGACCTTTAGAATGTTATTGTCGATTGAATCATGAATTGAGTGATATTTCAGTTATGTGATTTTCACTTCTCTGTAATTTGGCATCTCTGATATGATGTCAGACACCACTATGGGCCACCAAGTGTGAGAGTGGTTGAGAGCACAGTTTTCTCTTTGTGAGTTGGTCCATGTTGGGTGGAGGAGTTCTAAGGGGCTTCTTGTGATAATTTTGTGAGGCGTGAGCTTGGTCACCCTAGTCATGGTTTGTCTAGAGAGCAATGTGTTTTCTCTAAGTGAATCGCGTCGGGCATAGGGTAGCAGTTGTTGGGCATTATCTTGTGCCCTTTGTTCTCAATTTCTTGAATTTTTTTACTTGAATTTTAATTGTAGATTTTACTCTTGATAGGTGTAATTTTAATTTCTTCCAAATGTTTAATTTTATTTAACTTTTAGTTATTTATGTCAGCATTTGCCTGATGCAGCAAGGGTGTGGATGCAGAAAATTGAGAAAAGTTTGTCGCTCCAACTCCATGAGTTGATTTTTCTTTTTCGTTCTATTGGTTGTGTTCATGTTCCGTTAGAAAATCATATCGGTAAAGAAAAGGTCAAATGTTTTTATGAGATTCAGATTTGTATATATGAAAATGCATTTACTAAAAAAATTTAATTTTTTAAATGAATCTGCAAATTTTAAAAAAGGTGAGATTTTTGTCTCTAAACTAAGAAATGGTCTGACTTTATAATTTTTAATAATTAATGAAATAATTGAGAGATTGAACCAGCTATAGTAGTAGCATTTTTCACTGGCTGTATATGTTTTCCTATGGAGTAATTAAAAGGAAACAAAATCTGGAACATTAAAAGCAGAAAGAACCTGCAGAGTTCATATCCGGGTTTCTAGTTTTTATTTCTTTTCTAAAGACACTACTATTATTTTTAGAGCATGTTGAATGATCAACATGCTGTAAAGATTAATTTAATAAAAAAATAAGGTTTAAATATATTTTAATTCTTCAAATTCAAAGTAAATTTATTTTTAGTCTTTTAAATTTAAAATTAATTTTTTTGTACTGTAATTTCAAACAAAAAATATTTTAAATCTTTATACTCAAATTTTGTTAAAGAATTTATGAAATAAAGTTCCATAAAATCTATCGACTGATATTTTTATCAGTGAAAACATCACATTAAACTCAACTAATAATACATAATCGTCTCAATCTCTCATTTTTATGTATGTTATTGGAAACTCGAGTGACTAAAATAAGATTTTTAAAAATTACATAAAATAAAATCAATAATTTTAAATTTGAGGAAAAAAAAATTATCTTAAATTTAAGAGACTAAAAATATATTTTAAGTCAATAGAAAATAAATTCTAAAGGAAAAAATAGTTTTTCAACAAAAGATTTCCAGACAATTATGTTCTATTTAGAGCAAATCCTTAATTTAGTTAGACAAATGTTACTTTATATTCTAATTAGTCAATAAAATAATAAATTAATTTGTGAAATATTAAAAATCATGTTATATAATCTTTAAAATATTAAAAAAAATTAAATTAGTCTCTCCAATAATAGTAACATAATAGAGATCAAATTGATAAAATTTTAATACTTTAAAATCACTTATAAAAATTTCACTACTTTTTTTAGAATTATTTAGGGAAATGTGTCATGATACACTTATAGTGACTTGATTTCATCTATTTAATAAAAATGTCAAGCTTAAATTTTTAAAAATATCTATTTGTTTAAAGAAAAAGTTAGTTTAGACTTATAAAAAAGTCTGTTAAGTCTGATAGGATATCCTATTTATCTATATGATATAATAAAAATAATATACATATTACATTATTAAAAAATATAATTAAATAAATAAATTTGTAATACAAAATTAAATTATTAATATTTTTTACATTTCCACGATACTTAAACATTTTATATTTTTTATTTGAACAAAATCAAAAATTGGAACTCTAACAACATCTTCACCAAGTTTAGAATATTTAGAAAAGAAAAAAATAAATAAATCTTCTCAACCTTAACTCTCTCTCTCTCTCTCTCTATATATATATATATATGAGGAGGGTTCAAACGACACCGGTGTAACTTTTACTAAGTGTTACACCGCTCAATAACTTTAAATTAAATGTGAAATTATTAAATTCAACTGTTAGATTGAAGGTTCTTTACTCTTAGATCATATATACAAAATTTTATATTAATCCAAGATGAAGATGATTTGATACTTCATTCTTATAAAACAAAATTGACGTAATATATTTATTTCAAAATATACTAAAATACGAACATTTTGATTACCCTCAAGTTGTTGTTCAATTTTAAAAAAAATTTGATATACACATATAAAATGATATGAATTTTCAATCTAACGGTTAGATTTACAAAATTCACATTTAATTTAAAGTTATTGAGCAGTGTAACACTTAGTAAAAGTTACACCGGTGTCGTTTGAACCCCCTATATATATAAAGAGAGAGAGAGAGAGCGTAAGGAAATTAAGTTTTGTAACACCCATTTATCTCTTCTAAATATGACATATAATTATTTAATTATTAAGTTGAATAAATAAAATAAAATTATAAGAAATTATTTAAATTACACAACCTATAATACCAAAATAATTAGAGTTACATTAAGGATAAATTCATTTATTACACATAAATATAATTACAAGTCATATTTACTAGCATTTTTCCTAAGTACTTATAAAAGTAGGAAATGTTTGTTTTTTTTATTAATATTTACAAACCACTTTCATAATTCTTATGTTATTTTTCACAATTCTTATGTTATTTTATAATAACAGATGTTATATATTATATAGTAGGTTGACATGATTTGTTGGAGGTGTAACACTATCATCTCATAGCCCTGGTTGTTTGATTTGATAACTACTGTTGAGAGTTATGGGCTGAGAGACCCTGAAGCACGTTGATCTCTTAAGGCTGGATCAAAGATAAGTGGAGCCAGTTCAGGAAAAGTATAAAAGAAATTTTTTCAAAAGGAAGCTCACAACTCATGTTTTCTAGAACTTTAGAGAGAAGCTAGAGAGATATTACTGAATCCAGGTAGGCTTTGTGGTTGGAATTCGAGCTTGTGAAGGCGGAGGATTCAAATCGGTGTCGTACAAAGTTTCTTCTCTTCTCCTATTGCGGGTTTGAGTCTCCAAGAGGTAATGAAAGCAATGATTTTGAATTTAGGGTGCATTATGTGGCTGTGATAATTGGGATGAGTTGTTTATCTTTTTTATTGATTTGAGGATGAATTTGAAAGGGGTTCCATGGGTTTTGAGTGTTCAAAGGTGTTCATGGAGGTTCATGCTTGAGAGGGGATTGATTTTTAGTTGCATGTTGCTTTTGATGATGAATTTGTGTTGTATAGATATTGGTCAAGATGTTGTATGTTATGGAAAATTTTTGGTTTTTAGGTATTTGGTGAAATCAAGTTCTACAGAAATGTAGAATCTGATATCGTGTCAGACACGCCATCAAGGTGTCAAACATGGTTCTAAAGGAGAGGTTTTTATCTCACTCACTCTAGGCGGGGAATTGGTTGCACCAAACATAAGGAGAGAGAATCGTCTCAGGTTGGAATCACATCAGACAAGGGTTGAATGGTGCCAAGCGTGAAGAGAGAGACTCGTATATCTGTCTGGGTTCATGCCGACGTTAAAATGTGAAGCGTCAAGCGTGAGTTAGGCAGATAACTATTTTCCTGATTGGGGTTGGGTGTAGGTGTTGATATGCCAAGCACAATAATGTGTGGCACTCTCTACCCCAACCACACTAGGCACAAGTGTGGTGATGTCGAGTGTGGACGAGATAGGAAGCTCTCTGCCTCATTGATGCCATGCACCTGGTGAGAGGTGCCAAGCGTGAATTGGATGATTAGAAGTTGCATTCTTGTGATGTTTTATAGTTGATTGATGATAGATAAGTTGTATGAAGAACAATTAGTTGTCCAATGTTGTTTTACAGTTGATGTGTGATGACTAAGTTGTATAAGTGGT